AACATGGGTTTGCATCAAACCAAGCCTGTTTGCAGTTCAAGGAATGGATAAACAAACTGGTCATATTTGGGCAGTTTGCCCACCTAAACCCCTGGCTGATGTTTGTAAAAAAGATCAACCAAAAGTCTCTCATTATGTGGTGGTAGTACTGCCACTACAAAATGGCAGACCTCTGACCTCCCGGTGTTCGTAAATAAACTAGCCAGGGGTTCTGGGTGACGTAGTTGACCAAATATGTTGGGTGTAAATCCAACATCAATTGTCTAGCAATGTACATCCATGTCAATCATGATGGCCCACCTCCAGGTGATATTTTATTGCAGTATGTAAAGAAACTAGCCAGAGATCCTAGGTGACATCACTGACCAGGGGCGGACTGACAACTCATGGGGCCGCGGGCAATAGGGGATCATGGGGCCCCTGTGTCCTTGCCCAAACTCAAAAAAGCCTATGAAAAAGGTACCAGGGGCATCTCATGGGGCCCCCTATTGATCCTGGGCCCTCGGGCAGTGCCCGAGTTTCCAAATGGTCAGTCTGCCCCTGTCACTGACCAATTATGCTCATGACCATATTTGGTCATAGATGTCATCCAAAATCCCCAGATGGTTTGTACAAACTGAAACTGATGAGAGATCTGTCATTTTTTGATGGTAGCGCTGACAGATCTCTGGCCAACTGATGATTGTGCATAAACTAGCCAGGGATCTGTCATTTAGCAGTGAAAGCACTACTGCTATGTTAGCACTAGCCTCCAGATGTTTGGTTTTTCCCTAGGTGAATTAATTTGGGGTTCAAAGTATGCCTTGTATATGGTACATAGCTTCCCTGGGTGATTCCAGTTTGCTCACAAATCAAAGAAAGTGGAGATATGTCATTTAGTGGAGGTTGGGCCCTACAGCAAAATTTTGATGGGGCCCTTAGTTAACTTTCTCTGTAGTACTTGGAATTGTAATAATACATGTCATTGATAATAACATAAAATATGCCTAACTCAAGGGCAGGCAGAAGGACAGGTGGCAGGATGGATCTTGTGACACATTGGGTGGGCAGATGGGCTTACACCGCACACACAGCTGGGAAGCAACTTCCACTATCTGTGTGTACTATGTTCTATGACCAGCTGCAGTTTTGACAGCTAGGCTCCACTGGCAGTTGCTGTCAAAACTGCAGCTGGTTCTGAAGCGAATCTCACATAAATGGGAAAGTTACTTTCCCGCTGTGTGTGTTATGTTAGCCCATTCATCTGCTATTTCATATAATCCCAACTACCCACCAGCTTGCTTTGATATAATCCTACCCAGTGCCTGCCCACTATGTGGGCAATGTAAATAAACTTGGCACCTTCTAAACAGACACGGCTCCTGCTGGGGTGAAGGAAACCATGATGGGGCTCTGTGGCCTAGTGACAGACAATAAAAAGATTAAAAAAGGTAAAAAAAATACTTTTTTGGATAATAAATGTGTTTTGATCAATGTAATTATTATAGATTTGTTGTATTACAATGGTCTTTTATTGCAGTGTGGCGTTTACTGAGATGCTGCCAAAGGGTTTAATGATTTTTAAAGGGATGCAGACCCTGCATTTTCCTCATTAGAACACTGCAAGTGCATCAGATGATTAATATTGAAAAAGTCATTCCTGTTCAGATTCCCTCTGCAGACTAAAAAGCAGCAGAAACAGGTAGGGATCTGCAATCACCCAGAGGGGGTTGCTTTATTTCTCACAGCTGGCTTCCTACTGCACATTTTTGCAAGCCGTGCTTTGCTTTGTGAATGGTCTCACAGCTTTCTGGGATCTGTAACACATCCTGGAAAATTGCAGGATATGTCACAGGTCCCAGGAAGCTGCAGGATACGTCACAGGTCCCAGAAAGCTGTGGGGAAACAGAGGGGGGACTGAACTGGGAAGCGTGTGAAGTTCGCTTTAAGCTATGCTTGATCTAAGCTAATTTGGTTTTAACATTGCCTTGATGGCCCATTAAACTACTAATAGTAAAGTGTTGGGCACTGTTAGCGACAGATAGCGTGAAGTAAGCAAAGCTATAGGAAATTCTTTTAATGTCTATATTAGTACAAGCATTGACAAATTCCAATTCATGGCACCATGTCTGACAAAAGGAAATGGGTATTCTCAAATGCTTGAGCCAAAATATTTAATTTAACCGATAAAAAGTATGACATGTATTTCACCTTTCCACGTGTAATAACCTTAGTTGGGGAAGTGATGTGATGAATTGCAACCTCCCACTGGAGAGTATCATCCCTGTATAGATAATCCCAAAACTTCATATGTTGAAAGGGGACTTTAACTATATTGCCAGTGGATTGCCATCTTGAAGCAATCCAGGGTAAGCTGTATGCTTGTTTTATCCACATTGGGTTTCTTATGCAACCTTTTGAGAACCTATGCAAACTACCTTTCTGGGGGGCTCTAGTCCTAGATGTCAGGTCTGCACATTGTAATCTATGTGCTACACAAATATACCAAGTGTTCCCCCTGATTTGGTGGTCCCCCCATGGGCTGGCAGAGACTTACTGAGAGGATTGCCTCTCTTTCCCTTCTCTGTTTTTTTTTTGTGTGGTTTTACTTCATTTTGCTACTGAGATGGATATAGTTTTCCTTTGGAATATCAGCAGAGGAATATGATTATAGTGAATACAATGCACCCTTAGGGTGACTTACCTATTACTGGAGTTTGAGGTCCTGAGGGGTTTCCCACGAAACAAGTCAACTTGAGTAGAGTGATCTCCAGGAATTCTACAATTTAAGTCACCATTGTTCAAATGATCTATTGATGCTCCTCTACATTACTTATAAAACTTTGTCAAATATTTTAAATTTTTAAAATAATAAAAATGTATAGTTGCTTTTAAACATGGTTACCATTGTCTGTTGTACCCACTGAAGATATAGTTAAAGTCCCTTTTCAATCCTAGATTGTAAGCTCGAAAGAGTAGGGCCCTCTTACCCCTTGTGCACTGTTTGATGTTACTGTTCTGTTTCATGTATTGTCCCCCCCTCTATTGTACAGCGCTGAGCAAACCCTTTGGCGCTATATAAACTCGATAAATAAATAAATAAATAAATAAATATATGCAGTTTGGGGATTTTCCACATATAAGTCATGGAATAATACAATGACATACTCTTACAATCAGCACTATCATTGCTTTTAATTGTCCACCAATAAAAGGCTGTTGCTATTTGTCAAATGCCTAAAGGTGATTTATAAGTCCTGAGCAGCAATTTAGAAACCAAGTGGTGTGTTAGAGTGTATGTAATATAGCTATATTTGTAGAAAAAAGAACATTAGATGACGAAAGAATTGACTATAGTCATTTGATTTTGTGAAGCACATCCATATATAAAACGTTATGCTGCATCACGCTTGTAAATGTCACCACCATTTTTTTCTTGTTATATAAACAAAAAAAGATTGAAAATTTTAAAACAAAAACAATATTTTTTACTTTCTGGTATAAAACATATCCAATGAAAGTTCTTCATACATTTAGGCCAAAATGTATACTGCTACATTTCTTTGATGAAGAAAACTAACAAATCAGTGTATTTTTTTTTAGTCTGTATGAAAATGATACCATCTACAAACCATGGTATATACAAACTATAGTATAGAAATATATAATTGATCAGTCCTGATGTACTGATGACCCATCTAATTTCTTGAGACCCCAACATGCCAGGACAGTAAAAATATCCCCCAAATCACCCCTTTTTGGAACGTAGACAGTCTGAGGCATTTAGTAAGAGGCATGGCAAGTTTTGTGTAATTTTTTGTCAATTTGTTTTTGAAAAATAAAGAAATTAAATACATTTTTTTTAACATACTGTCACCAATGCAGTACAGCGTCATCATATGACTGGTATGGTGGTGATCAGGGATATGGATTTGTAACGGTATGTAAAAATAAATAAGTAATTTTTAATTCAAAATTTACTTTACATACTGTCATCAGATTATTCACACTGTACTACTCTGGAGAGGAAGGGTAATCGGGGTTTTTTTGTTTTTAATGTATTTTTGTCTTTACTTGTTTTTTACTGAATTTTTATCACTGTATAAGCAATAGTTTTAACCATCATGAATGGGTTAACCATAGAGCCTGTGCAGGACCCTTAAGATCACGGCTATTACTGTAGTAGTGCCAACTACTACAGAGATTTCCAGCTTCCCCAGTGGTCCATCAGGTGAGAGCAATGCATACTTACTTTGTGTGAAGCTGAACTAATGTAAATATAGTGGGAACAAACTTCAAATGATAGTGCATGAAGGGCACAGCCACTCACTTAAATCTCCTTTTTAGGGCTTTTCTTGCCCACTTTAATTAATACAAAGTTCAACACAATCAATGGGTTTCCCTCACAGGGGTTTCCCAGCATTTCTCGTCTTCCAAAGAAAGACACATTCAGAGGCCTCCAGGCTTACACTTGCAGCACTGGCCTCACTTCAGACCATTGTATCTGCAGCAACCCGCAAACAGTCTTCAGACACAAGATTTGTGACTACATCTAGCAGTTACTTGCTGCCCTGACTCCCATCTGTCTCCCAGGGGGAGCCCTCATGACCTCCATTGTGGAGCCCTGAACAATAGTCAAGTGTCTAATAAAAGCCCTGCACACACCTGCCCAATGGGTGTGCTGGTTGTTCACAAAACCAGAATCCAATATTGGAGACATCATCCCTTTTAAGTCTTTATGAAGTCTTTTGACTCAAGGTCCCAACCTGGGTTTCACCAAACACTGGGTTTCACCGAAACTGGAAAAAACTGTTTCCTTTGAATATGAATACAAGCTGGAGCCCCTTAACCTGCCTGAATGAGAACCCTGATAAAGTAGAAAAGAAAAAAAAGATAACAAAATTTGAACACTAAATGGAATAATTAAACCAGGGGTCCTCAAACTTTTTAAACAGGGGGCCAGTTCACTGTCCCTCAGACCGTTGGAGGGCTGGACTATCGTTTAAAAAAAAAAAAACTATGAACAAATGTGGACAGGAGTACAGGAGTACAGGAGATGACCAGGAGACTGCGGATACAGTACAGGAGATGACCAGAGACTGCAGACACAGAGAGTACAGGAGATGACCAGAGACTGCGGAACACAGTACAGGAGATGACCAGAGACTGCGGACACAGTACAGGAGATGACCAGAGACTGCGGACACAGTACAGGAGATGACCAGAGACTGCGGACACAGTACAGAAGATGACCAGAGACTGCGGACACAGTACAGGAGATGACCAGAGACTGCGGACATAGTACAGGAGATGACCAGAGACTGCGGACAGTAGTACAGGGGATGACCAGAGAGACTGCGGACAGAGACAGTACAGGGGATGACCGGAGATAGACTGCGGACATAGTACAGGAGATGACCAGAGACTGCGGACATAGTACAGGAGATGACCAGAGACTGCGGACACAGTACAGGAGATGACCAGAGACTGCGGACACAGTACAGAAGTTGACCAGAGACTGCAGACATACAACGGCGGTGGGAATACTGGGCTCCATAAGACGCACAGACATTTCCCCTCAAGTGTGTCTTATGGACCGAAATAGTGCCCCATCATTGGTGTCAGTGGGAGGAATAGTGCCCCATCATTGGTGTCAGTGGGAGGAATAGTGCCCCATCATTGGTGTCAGTGGGAGGAATAGTGCCCTATCATTGGTGTCAGTAGGAAGAATCGTGCCCCATCATTAGTGTCAGTGAGAGGAATAGTGCCCCATCATTGGTGTCAGTGGGAAGAAATGTGCCCATCATTGTTGTCAGTGGGAGGAATAATGCCCTATCATTGGAGTCAGTGGGAAGAAATGTGCCCCATCATTGGTGTCAGTGGGAGGAATAGTGCCCCATCATTGGTGTCAGTGGGAGGAATAGTGCCCCAACATTAGTGTCAGTGGGGGGAGGAATAGTGTCCCATCGTTGGTGTCAGTGTGGGGAAGGGGATAGTGTCCCAACATTGGTGTCAGTGGGAGGAATAGTGTCCCAACATTGGTGTCAGTGGGAGGAATAGTGTCCCAACATTGGTGTCAGTGGGAGGAATAGTGTCCCATCATTGGTGTCAGTGGGAAGAATAGTGCCCCATCTTTGGTGTCAGTGGGGGAATAGTACATCATTGGTGTCAGTGGGGGGGAATAGTGCCCCGTCATTGGTGTCAGTGGGGAGGGATAGTGTCCCAACATTGGTGTCAGTGGGGGAAGGAATAGTGTTCCATCGTTGGTGTCAGTGGGGGGTGGAATAGTGCCCCATGGTTGGTGTCAGTGGGGGGTGGAATAGTGCCCCATCATTGGTGTCAGTGGGGGGGAGGAATAGTGCCCCATCGTTGGTGTCAGTGGGGGGAAGGAATAGTGCCCCATCGTTGGTGTCAGTGGAGGGAGGAATAGTGCCCCATCATTGGTGTCAGTGGGAGGAATAATGCCCCATCATTAGAATCAGTGACACCAATGATGGGGCACTATTCCTCCCACTGACACCAATGACACTTAACTTGCTGACCCCTGTTCCAGAATGGTGCTGCTGCAGTCAGCATACCTGGTTGCAGCAGCACCATTTGCACGGCACACTTACCTGTCAGCTGTCCTTCATTCCAGCCTCTCCCGCACTCGATGTTCACAGGGCCGCTCGGCTCCACCTCCTCGCAGGTCATTGGCCGCCTGTGTGCCTTTCCTGAGCTACAGTTCTGGCGCCCAATCACCGGTGAGGAGACGGAGCCGAGCGGCAGAGCGAACATCGAGTGAGGGAGTGGCCGGAGTGAATGAAGGAGCAGCGCTTCCTGGACTGGATCGTAGTGGGACTGGGACACAGAGCCAGGTAAGATACAGCAGCCCCCTACCCGCCCCTGTACTTAGTGTCCCTTCCTCGCTGCAAATACGCCCTGCCGGCGGGCCGGATAAATGTCCACGGCGGCCAGCATGTGGCCCGCGGGCCGTAGTTTGAGGACCCCTGAATTAAACTAACCTGGATACACCACCCAAAAGCACACACATTCACTAAATAAATGTAAGAAAAAAAAAAACTTTTTTTCCAGGCTAAAATATTTTACCTAAACCACTCAATGATCGGGTATTAAAATTGGTAATTTTGTGTAGAATCTGTTTTTTCAGAATCATTATGCTCATTCCTAAATACTAGTACTACTGGAAAATTTTAAAAATCCACTTTTAATAATGCTTCTGTACAGTATGCCCTTTCATGTGTGCACCAGCATGGTTACAGAATATGTAAACCCAGAAGCACACAATTTACAACGAAAAAGAGTTTTTATAAAAGTCAAAGAATATTGATGCATAGTGAGCCAAGCAGTAGGTAGAAGTACCATATATACAGTATATATATTCAGCGGAACATGTGTGGGGTCTCCTTTAACCTCTTCTTGAACGCGTTTTAGCCGAATGTGGCTACAGCATGGTCATCCAGTTCTTAGTTCTGGGAGGGTGTCATATGACATCCCCCATTTGCCCCGAACAGCACGTATTGGGCACTCTCTGTGATTGCTGTGTCCTTTTTGTGTCTGCTTGTGTGTGACACAGCTGATCACATGACATGGTAAAGGGTCAATCACAGCTGCCTTTTACCATGTGATCAGCTGTGTCCAATCACAACTGATCACCATGTAAATACACTTGCCGGGTATTTCCCTCAGCAAGAGGAAAGTACTGCCGATAACCAACAACTGTGAAAGGATTCATCTACACTGATAATCAGGGCACTGATTATCAGTGCCCTCATTATCAGTGCAGCCCCAAAAGTGCCCAACAGTACTGCCCATCAGTGCTGCCAATCAGTGCCCAGCAGTGCTGCCAATCTGTGCCCATCAGTACCACATATCCATGCAGCCTCATCAGTGCCTCCTCATCAATGCACACCAGTGCCGCCTCATCAGTCGCAAAAATAGAACAAAAACAAGCCACCTGTAAAGGCACACATAATTTGTGTCCTAGTACTATCTCCGACTCACTTATCATAAAAGTGTGGATTTATAAACCGGGAAATGCATAGCAGACAATATGGTAGTGTGACAAGAGCAACACCACCTAGAAAAAAGAGGTTACTTAAAGATCCACGCGGAGTAATGTGGGTTCAATAGTTACAAAAAATACTTTATTTGATCACATAGATCGTGGGGAGGTAAAGCAAAAGCACGGTGAACATATCAGACAAATAAAATCATTTAAAAGCACTTGGCGTCCTCATTCCTGGGTGATTTTGGCACATAGGGAACCATATAGGGCAATGGGGTATATTCTAGCTATATGATCCTAGGTTTCCATATAATTCAAGCTTGTATTTAGGTTAGCCATGTATTCTTCAGACGTATTCTTGGTATAGGCCAGGATATGTAGAATAGCTTCCTGGTAAGTGGAAACTGGAACAAGCAAATATGGTCTTAAATAGCACATAGATCACACCATAACTGCCCCATTCAGAGATAGATTAGTATCATTACCTTCTCAGTGATTTGGCTGTCATACCAATATGGTGAATGTAGAGACTTCCTGGGTAACCACCCCAAGTGAAACAAAGTCCACAGTAACAAGTGATTCTAGAGATATATATAGAAAAAATTATATAGATCATACACATCAAGCATAATCCCTGAATAATGAAAAACAACAAAATAGAATAGAGGTATATATTACCATCAATGAAGATCAAGAGGACTCACGTCGACTTGAAATAGGATCAGGTCCTTAATGCTTGTTCAATAGTGCATATATAGGTGGGAAGCCAGGTAGTCTCAATACATAAATTTCAAAAAGAGTATTATATATGTAGCAGGCACTATATACCTGAATCTATATACCCAATATAGGGTTTCAAAAATTGCTCAAGCTGAGATAGTAAAGCGGTTCCTTGAGGATATAGCTATATCACAGCGTACGGCATATGTGTGACATAGAGTATATATATTGTCCCCCTAAGAGGATTTCCAAAAAAATTCCCTGAAAAAACAGGAGTACTAGGCACATATAGTGTTCCCTCTCAACTCCATATACGCTCTATGAATCTAAACAGCAAATACCGCTAACTGAGCCAAATAAGCAAAGATAACTTGCCACCGGTGGAAGGTATGCTCCTATTTAGGATGGCCATATGCGGACTGCTGTAATAGTAGCTTTATGGTAGTTTTTCAAAGCCTCGTGCCTTCCTAGCATGGAGCTGTAACAACGCCGCTCCTTTCCTCCTCGTGGGCACCGCACCTAATGAAGACGCCGAGCGTAGTGACGTCATTACGTTGACGCGTTTCGTCCGCCAATCACCGCGGACTTCGTCAGAACTGGGAGGGGACTCCATTCCATTGCCTTATATAGTACACTAATTGCATACCGAGAGATCTCCATGTCGCCCTCTTGTGTTGAAAAGATATCACTACATTAAAAAGTCCAAAGTGAGTTTAAAAAACATATATTGACTGCTGGCAATACAGAGGAAGGCCTTATTTAAGTTAGCAGATCATCATTAATCAAAATAGAGTAAAAGGAAGATAATTACAAATTCTGATAGTACGGGGGAAGGGGGTACAGGGAACATCAGAGCTAAGTAGAGAATCTCTATTTTAATACTATTTTTGTTATTATTATAGAGGTTCAATCTGGTGTAGGGCGAACCCCACCTCAGGTTGGATTCTCAATTTTATCCCCGCAGATTCGTCATACCGAGATTATATTTTACCCGGGGGAACCTCCATTTCCTTAATTTAAGCAGATACCCATATGGGCAATGTAGCACAAGCAAAAGTATATATTCAGAAGGACTTACTTCAGGAAAACTTTAAAATTAAGTTCTGTATTTAGTCCATATGGGACAAGTGCACCCAAAGTATAGATCCAGAATTTCTCTTTTTGGAGAAGAAATTTATCGAAGTCACCCCTTCTAGCTGAAATATTCAGTAGGAAGATCCCTTTGACTTTCAGGCCTTCTGTCCTTCCCCCATGTACTTCTTTAAAATGTTGTGCCAGGGGATTGTCTTTTTCCCCTTTCCCCCCATTTCTATTTTCATTTCTAATATCTCTCAGGTGTTCACCAATCCTGGTTCTAAGATTCCTTTTCGTTTTTCCTATATATATCTTCCTGCATGGGCATTCTATCATCAGTGTAGCCTATCAAAGCCCGTTAGTACTGCCTATTAGTGCTGCCTCACCAGTGCCCATCAGTGCTGTCTATCAATGCCTATCAGTGCCACATATCCGTGCAGCCTCATCAGTGCCTCCTCATCAATGCCCACCAGTGCCGCCTCATCAGTGTAGCCTATCAAAGCCCGTTAGTACTGCCTATTAGTGCTGCCTCACCAGAGCCCATCAGTGCTGTCTATCAGCGCCTATCAGTGCAGCCTAATCAATGCACATCAGTGAAGGAGAAAAATTACCTGTTTGCAAAATTTTATAATAGAAACAAAGAAAAACTTTTTTTCCCCCAAAATTTTGGTATGTTTTTGTTTATAGTGCAAAAAATAAACTACCCAGTTATGATTAAATATTACCAAAAGAAAGCTCTATTAGTGTGAAAAAAAACTATGAAAACTTAATATGGGTACAATGTTGCATGACCACGCAATTGACAATCAAAGCGCGACAGCACTAAAAGCTGAAAATTGGTCTGGGCAGGAAGGGAGTAAAAGTGCCCGGTAGACAAGTGGTTAAAGAATATGTGAACCCAACATTTCATATTCTTGATATCTGCCTGCTGTACTTGCAAGAAAAATGATCCTGTTCTGCCTTTCATTTCTATTTTAAACTGAATGGGTTGTTTTACAAGGTGAGGGTTTACAATCACTTTAACCAGTTGGTGACCGACGGCCTAAAAGCAGCTTTACTGCTACAGGGTGGCTGCTGTGTGTAGAATGAC